TGTCTCTACTTTAAAGAGTCCTCTCCTGCTGATGTTCAGGTGTATATCAGTATGTAGTGTCTCTACTTTAAAGAGTCCTCTCCTGCTGATGTTCAGGTGTATATCAGTATGTAGTGTCTCTACTTTAAAGAGTCCTCTCCTGCTGATGTTCAGGTGTATATCAGTATGTAGTGTCTCTACTTTAAAGAGTCCTCTCCTGCTGATGTTCAGGTGTATATCGGTATGTAGTGTCTCTACTTTAAAGAGTCCTCTCCTGCTGATGTTCAGGTGTATATCAGTGTGTAGTGTCTCTACTTTAAAGAGTCCTCTCCTGCTGATGTTCAGGTGTATATCAGTATGTAGTGTCTCTACTTTAAAGAGTCCTCTCCTGCTGATGTTCAGGTGTATATCAGTATGTAGTGTCTCTACTTTAAAGAGTCCTCTCCTGCTGATGTTCAGGGGTATATCAGTATGTAGTGTCTCTACTTTAAAGAGTCCTCTCCTGCTGATGTTCAGGTGTATATCAGTATGTAGTGTCTCTACTTTAAAGAGTCCTCTCCTGCTGATGTTCAGGGTGTATATCAGTATGTAGTGTCTCTACTTTAAAGAGTCCTCTCCTGCTTATGTTCAGGTGTATATCAGTATGTAGTGTCTCTACTTTAAAGAGTCCTCTCCTGCTGATGTTCAGGTGTATATCAGTATGTAGTGTCTCTACTTTAAAGAGTCCTCTCCTGCTGATGTTCGGGTTAGGGTCTCTTTACACATGTTGATGCATAAAAGTGGATTTTGCATAATAGGTGACCTTTTAAAAGCTAAAAAACACTTTGAGTCCATACATTTTGTGACACATTATGAACTGAAGGGATGAAATCAAGGCTTTAAAGGGTTTGTAAATAGTCACTAGTCCACAAAGTGCCCCTTCCCCCCTTTTAAGGTTCTTAGCACCAAACCCTCCTCTGCACGCCTGTAAGTCCTGATGACCCTTTGACCCCGGCTCCATCTTAGAGCTCCTCACTGACATGCTTCTGGTTTCCCTCTGTTTGTCTCCGGGGGGTTTTACATCACTGTTGTTGTTGTTGTTGTTGTTGATGACTGCCTTTTCTCCTCCTTTAATTCTCTTTAACGTAGCTACCATTGAGGCAGCTAAAGCACAAGGTACGCAGTCAGCAGTTCACTCCCTGTGTGTGGTTCCCTTCTGTAGTCTCTGTTTCTATGCCCCCCTCAGCGCTGTGTCACCCTATGGTTGCTCTTGCACTATCAGCGTCTGTTCGATAACCCTGATGCCAGTACTGTCAAACGTTACGTCGGCTAGATGGCCGATAACATAAGATGTACTTTATTAATCACAAAGTGGGACGTGTTTTTGTTGCAGCAGCATGTAAAAAAAAGAATTCCACATAATAACCAATTAAAAAAAGAGTAAAAAATACACAATTATACGATATAATCATCTCAGAATACAGAACTAACAAAGGGAAAATATAAACGCTGAAGATCAAGATCTGTAAAGTACTCAGATATTGTACTTGAGTAAAAGTAGAAGTACTCAGATCTTGTACTTGAGTAAAAGTAGAAGTACTCAGATCTTGTACTTGAGTAAAAGTAGAAGTACTCAGATATTGTACTTGAGTAAAAGTAGAAGTACTCAGATTGTGTACTTGAGTAAAAGTAGAAGTACTCAGATATTGTACTTGAGTAAAAGTAGAAGTACTCTGATCTTGTACTTGAGTAAAAGTAGAAGTACTCAGATCTTGTACTTGAGTAAAAGTAGAAGTACTCAGATCTTGTACTTGAGTAAAAGTAGAAGTACTCAGATCATGCACTTGAGTAAAAGTAGAAGTACTCAGATCTTGTACTTGAGTAAAAGTAGAAGTACTCAGATCTTGTTCTTGAGTAAAAGTAGAAGTACTCAGATCTTGTATTTGAGTAAAAGTAGAAGTACTCAGATCTTGTACTTGAGTAAAAGTAGAAGTACTCAGATCTTGTATGAGTAAAAGTAGAAGTACTCAGATCTTGTACTTGAGTAAAAGTAGAAGTACTCAGGTCTTGTAGTAAAAGTAGAAGTACTCAGATCTTGTACTTGAGTAAAAGTAGAAGTACTCAGGTCTTGTAGTAAAAGTAGAAGTACTCAGATATTGTACTTGAGTAAAAGTAGAAGTACTCAGATCTTGTATGAGTAAAAGTAGAAGTACTCAGATCTTGTTCTTGAGTAAAAGTAGAAGTACTCAGATATTGTACTTGAGTAAAAGTAGAAGTACTCAGATCTTGTTCTTGAGTAAAAGTAGAAGTACTCAGACCTTGTACTTGAGTAAAAGTAGAAGTACTCAGATCTTGTACTTGAGTAAAAGTAGAAGTACTCAGATCATGCACTTGAGTAAAAGTAGAAGTACTCAGATCTTGTACTTGAGTAAAAGTAGAAGTACTCAGATCTTGTTCTTGAGTAAAAGTAGAAGTACTCAGATATTGTACTTGAGTAAAAGTAGAAGTACTCTGATCTTGTACTTGAGTAAAAGTAGAAGTACTCAGATCTTGTACTTGAGTAAAAGTAGAAGTACTCAGATCTTGTACTTGAGTAAAAGTAGAAGTACTCAGATATTGTACTTGAGTAAAAGTAGAAGTACTCAGATTGTGTACTTGAGTAAAGTAGAAGTACTCAGATATTGTACTTGAGTAAAAGTAGAAGTACTCTGATCTTGTACTTGAGTAAAGTAGAAGTACTCAGATCTTGTACTTGAGTAAAAGTAGATGTACTCAGATCTTGTTCTTGAGTAAAAGTAGAAGTACTCAGACCTTGTACTTGAGTAAAAGTAGAAGTACTCAGATCTTGTACTTGAGTAAAAGTAGAAGTACTCAGATCTTGTACTTGAGTAAAAGTAGAAGTACTCAGATATTGTACTTGAGTAAAAGTAGAAGTACTCAGATTGTGTACTTGAGTAAAAGTAGAAGTACTCAGATATTGTACTTGAGTAAAAGTAGAAGTACTCTGATCTTGTACTTGAGTAAAAGTAGAAGTACTCAGATCTTGTACTTGAGTAAAAGTAGAAGTACTCAGATCTTGTTCTTGAGTAAAAGTAGAAGTACTCAGACCTTGTACTTGAGTAAAGTAGAAGTACTCAGATCTTGTACTTGAGTAAAAGTAGAAGTACTCAGATCTTGTACTTGAGTAAAAGTAGAAGTACTCAGATCTTGTTCTTGAGTAAAAGTAGAAGTACTCAGATCTTGTATTTGAGTAAAAGTAGAAGTACTCAGATCTTGTACTTGAGTAAAAGTAGAAGTACTCAGATCTTGTATGAGTAAAAGTAGAAGTACTCAGATCTTGTACTTGAGTAAAAGTAGAAGTACTCAGGTCTTGTAGTAAAAGTAGAAGTACTCAGATCTTGTACTTGAGTAAAAGTAGAAGTACTCAGGTCTTGTAGTAAAAGTAGAAGTACTCAGATATTGTACTTGAGTAAAAGTAGAAGTACTCAGATCTTGTATGAGTAAAAGTAGAAGTACTCAGATCTTGTTCTTGAGTAAAAGTAGAAGTACTCAGATATTGTACTTGAGTAAAAGTAGAAGTACTCAGATCTTGTTCTTGAGTAAAAGTAGAAGTACTCAGACCTTGTACTTGAGTAAAAGTAGAAGTACTCAGATCTTGTACTTGAGTAAAAGTAGAAGTACTCAGATCATGCACTTGAGTAAAAGTAGAAGTACTCAGATCTTGTACTTGAGTAAAAGTAGAAGTACTCAGATCTTGTTCTTGAGTAAAAGTAGAAGTACTCAGATCTTGTATTTGAGTAAAAGTAGAAGTATCCAGATATTGTACTTGAGTAAAAGTAGAAGTACTCAGATCTTGTATGAGTAAAAGTAGAAGTACTCAGATCTTGTACTTGAGTAAAAGTAGAAGTACTCAGGTCTTGTAGTAAAAGTAGAAGTACTCAGATCTTGTACTTGAGTAAAAGTAGAAGTACTCAGGTCTTGTAGTAAAAGTAGAAGTACTCAGATATTGTACTTGAGTAAAAGTAGAAGTACTCAGATCTTGTATGAGTAAAAGTAGAAGTACTCAGATCTTGTACTTGAGTAAAAGTAGAAGTACTCAGATCTTGTACTTGAGTAAAAGTAGAAGTACTCAGATCTTGTTCTTGAGTAAAAGTAGAAGTACTCAGATCTTGTACTTGAGTAAAAGTAGAAGTACTCAGATCTTGTATGAGTAAATGTAGAAGTACTCAGATCTTGTTCTTGAGTAAAAGTAGAAGTACTCAGATCTTGTATGAGTAAAAGTAGAAGTACTCAGATCTTGTACTTGAGTAAAAGTAGAAGTACTCAGATCTTGTATGAGTAAAAGTAGAAGTACTCAGATCTTGTATGAGTAAAAGTAGAAGTACTCAGATCTTGTATGAGTAAAAGTAGAAGTACTCAGATCTTGTATGAGTAAATGTAGAAGTACTCAAATCTTGTTCTTGAGTAAAAGTAGAAGTACTCAGATCTTGTATGAGTAAAAGTAGAAGTACTCAGATCTTGTATGAGTAAAAGTAGAAGTACTCAGATCTTGTACTTGAGTAAAAGTAGAAGTACTCAGGTCTTGTACTTGAGTAAAAGTAGAAGTACTCAGGTCTTGTACTTGAGTAAAAGTAGAAGTACTCAGATATTGTACTTGAGTAAAAGTAGAAGTACCAGAGTGTAGGAATACTCTGTTACAGTAAAAGTCCTGCATTCAAAATGTTCCTCAAGTAAAAGTAGAAAAGTATTCTCATCAAAATATAGTGAAAGTAGCGACAGTAAAAGTAGTCGTTGTGCAGATTGGTCCATTTCAGAATAATATATATGATATGTTTTATAATGATTGATCATGAAAGTGTTCTCAAAGCTGGTGAAGGTGCAGCTAGTTTGAATGGCTTTGTATACTGCAGGGTAGCTGGTGGATTTACTCCAGGTGGAACTAAAGTCTGATTCAACACTTGATTATATTTCACATCATTCATCCACATCTGTGAAGTAACTTAAGGTATACATGTAGTGGAGGAAAAGTACACCATGTACCTCTGAACTGTAGTGGAGAAGTACAGAGTAGCATAACATTGAAATACTCAAGTAAAGTACAAGTACCTCAAAATTGTACCTAAGTACAGTACTTGAGTAAATGTACTTAGTTCCTTCCCACCTCTGCCTCTGTTCTATCTGATAATGCCCAGCCTCAGGTGGAGCTCCTCCTGTTTGTAGAGGAGAGTTCCCGTCAGAGGAAAGCTCTCTAAGGCTCAGAGGCTCAGAGCGGGGCGTCCCTGCCGGATGTTTCCACAACTTAATCCTGTCAGCTGTTTATCTGCAGACTGCCCCCCCCTGTGGGAAGAGCCAGGAAGTGCTTCTACCGTCATAGGAAACTCTTAGGTCGGGGCTGTTCAAACTGCGGCCCGGGACCATTTTGAAACGGCCCTCAGCAAATTAAAATAGTATAATGAAATATGGCCACAAATCAAACTTGTGCTTTTCATATATTGTACTAATTAAATATATATGTACAAATATAAATACAGTATGTATGTGTGCCCACTTTTCAAATAACTTCAATCCATTAAAGTTGGAAACATTTTCAAACTAATCGGAGTTGATATAAAAAGCCCAATCACTTATTTGTATAAGAAGCTTCTGTTTTACGGCATGAGCTGCAAACTCAATAAAGTAAACATTATTTAGAGCGGTGAGGAAGGCTGTTTCTTCCAGCATGTTCAAGTGTCACGCTTCATGTACCCACATTTCATTGATTAGCTGACTTATAACTGAACTGATAAACCTCCAGGAGCGGCCGAGCCCTTCGTATGTTTTTCTGTACGTAGCCCTCGGAGAAAAAAGTTTGGACACCCCTGTCTTAGGTTATCTTTAAAATATAAAGGATTACTTCCACTATTCAATAACAACTATTCACTTCCCTTCATACCTTAGCATTTCATCTCAACCTTTTATTCATTATTATTATTATATAAAAACTATTTAAGTCCCTCGTTTAATCATCTTATTAATTACTTACAGGTAATTATTGAATATGACTATTAGCTATTTATTCAAACTGTTTAATCATGACTTTGTTTCTAATTATTTGTATCTGTTCAATAATTACTTTTAGCTTATTTTAAAAACTGTTTTTATTATTATTTATTTTATTATTATTTGTACTTTTTAATATTTACTTTTAGCTGAATATTTAAATGATTTAATCACTACTTTACTCTTTATTTTAACTCATCAAAAGTTGCTTTAAACTAGGAAGTGCTTCTGCAGCCATGGGGACTTTTATGTCGTCAAATATCTAATATATTAAATATAAAGGCAAGTTTATTCAAACAGCACTTTTCAACACAAGGCAATTCAAAGTAATCATTATTTTTTTCTAATTATTTTATCTGTTCAATAATTACTTTTCACTTATTTTAAAAACAGTTTTTATTATTATTATTTGTACTGTTTAATATTTACTTTTGGCTGAATATATATATAATTCAAAGTGCTTTACAAAAATAAAACATATTAAGAAAATGGCATTTAAAAACAGTCATTAAAAAGCGAAGTTAATAAAATAAACATTAAAAGAAAAAATACATGAATTAAAGTCACAGTGCAGTTTAAGACTTTTTTAAAGGATTATTTCCACTACTTAATAATAACTTTCCAACCACTTCTCTTCATACCTTACTGTTTATCATTACTGTTATATAAAAACGATGTAACCCTTATGTTGTGTTCGGGTCTCCCGCGCCCCGTTTCCAGGTCAAATGATATAATAACTACGCTCTAGTTTCTTGTATCGAAACAACACTACAAAACTCATTTTGACCATTTTAGCCAAGTCTCTAAAAAAAAAAGTGTATAATTTGGTGTTGGGGTCTGGGGAGACCCCGCAGAATGTTGTGGGTGACTCGAGGTCAAATGTGGCCCACTCAAGATTCATCTTTGACTTTAGACACCCCCCCCCCCCCCCCCTTCTTCCACTGTAACAATCATTTAAAACTTTTTTTGGGGAGATTATATTCTAACATTAGTCTATTATAGTCAGATAACGTCTGTCTTCACTATAGGAAATATAATGATTTAATTGAATCACATACTTAAATATGTGGTCTAATGTTTAACAGGATTGTACGGTTATGAATGCATAATAAGTTAGTTTTGATGTAGTTAAAATAATATTGGATGATAGTCGTTATGTTTTTGTGTTTTGAACGGAAACAGCTTTTCAACACAACACAAGGGTTAAGAAATACTATTTAAGTCTGTCGTTTAATCAGCTTATTAATTTAGCTGTTCAATAATTACTTTTAATAGTTTTAATATGACTATTAACTATTTATTCAAAGAGTTTAATCATTACTTTTTTTCTAATGATTTGAGCTGTCCAATAATTACTTATTTTTCTTAAACAGTTTTTATTATTAATTATTTTATTTGTATAATTATTTCAATAATAGTTTAAACATAATATTTATTATATTTTAAATGTTTAATTAACTTGTATCTAATTACTTTGCCTGTAGTTAATAATGATTTACCATTGCTTTACGCTCAGTATTTATTGTATATGTGTTTGAGAAGGTTACTGGTTATTATGTCAGTAAATATAAATCAAGAGATCTTTTCAGTAAATGTGCTAGAGGTCAGTATTGCAAAAGTATTTTATTTCCCTCTTAAACACAAATATGTGAGTTTATTCCTTTGAATGTAAACTGTGAATCAGGGACTTGAAGTGAAAGGTTTATCTCCACAGACTTCTGGTTCTGCAAGAGCTCCTCTGCCCCCTCCTTCCTTTGTGATAGAACATGTAAAAAGTGAAATGTTGTATGAGTTTGTTTCTGAACGAGTTTGCTTTGTATCTGCTCACGTCTCCTCTGGGTCCCTGGATGTTCCGGACGTTTACGTAAGTCTCCTCTGTGTGAGCTGTTTCTGTAACGGTAGTTGTGGTTTTCACTCATCTGTTCTGTGGCAGGACAAACCTGTCTCACAAAACAACGTGTAATAGCTACGTTTGTCCACAGGGCAAAACGTAGCATATTCACAAATAACCCTCTCAAGACGTGACATGAGTACAACATTTGTTCCTATTGATTTCTAACGACCAGCATCCGTGTCACGTGATCACAAACGTTCCCAGCGTGAGGGGAAAAAACATGGCGGACACCCGATTTATTTATAGTGGAACATCCTAAATTGTGGGATAGTTTGGCGTTAAAATGCTTTTTGATTACAGCGAGAAATTTATATTGTACGTTTAGAATCTACGTCCAGTGGATGAGTAGGATCCACAGTTTGATAGATATTACCAAGATTATTTGAGCTCCATCTATTTTTTTACAACATATTGTATCCACGTCTTGAGAGGGTTATTTGTGAATATACTACGTTTTGCCCGGTGGACAAACGTAGCTATTACACGTTTTTTTGTGAGACTGGGTTGGCTTCACTCATCTGTTCTGTGGCAGGCTGTGCGTTCACATCACAAATTAAACAGGTATTTAGAAGAATAGACACTAGAGCAGCGGCTCCCAACCTGTGGGCCGCGGCCCCCTAGTGGTCCGCGAAGGCATTACAAGTGGGCCCCAAATCATTTGCAAAACATTATGATTTGTGTGGAAACATTTTCATTATTATGATTTTTTCAATCTTTTTCTTGATCCTCCTTAGCAACGGTCTTTACAGTCTTTGACAGCGATCTGTTTTACTGGATTAACAACGTGTCACATGTTCTGAATTGACCAATCAGAATCGAGTATTCAACTAAACCGTATAAAGCAAATGTCTGTTTGTTACTGATGGCCAGCTCCATTTCTAATTAAAATAAAAACCGCTGCACTAGAGGGTAGAAAGGACTTGTATTATTATTCTATTTCTATATTTTCAGAAGCAAAATACTTTATTTATCGAGTGCTTTTAAACCCCAAGACCCAAGGCAGCTTTGCATGAGGTCAGGACAGACAACAAAACAAGCGGCAAATAATAAAGTAAAATGAATAAAAAGCAGGAGGACTGTGATGGGTTAGGGGTCAAAGGTCACGGTGGACAGGTGAGCTTTTAGTGATGACTTGAAAATGTCCGGGATTGGCAAGTAAATAAATTCTAATGTTTAAATAATACACAATATGAAGAGGATGTCATTCGGTACATTGGCTTCTTATCATTGATTTTAAGCTAAAAAATAAACACAGAAAATCCGGTGCCTTGCTCAAAGGCGTAGAGAGGAACTGGGACCTCTCCAAGCACCAGTCCAATCTCTCTATATTAAGGTCTGTTTGGGGAATCGAACCGGCGACCCTATGGTTCCCAGGATAATTACCTACAGACTGAGCCACTGCCGGAGTTCAGGCACAGTTGCTCCATTTAGATCAAATTTCATACAATAAAAAACATGTTAAACAATTCAAGTTAAAGTTTTCGTTAGAATATAATTAAATACAATTGCAATATATTTAAATAACAGTGACCCCCTGAATATGAAGACTTCCTATGAATCCTCCTGAAGACATTGGGAACCCTGAATGTTTAAATGTCGGGACATCAGTAGGAAGTTCCTCCAGAGTTTCTCCAACTAATCATTTGATGTGTTCTCGTTTCTCCGCAGCCATTCAAGATATCTCCCCCACGAGGAAGATCCGAAACTTCGAGGAGGCTCGCGGTCTGGATCGTATCAACGAGAGGATGCCGCCGCGAAAAGACGGGAAGACACCCGACAGCATCAACACCAACAAGAACGGCACCGACGGATAGGGAACGGAAACACCTTCCTCTCCATTTCACCTCCCCCTCTTCCTCTCTCTGTCCTCCCCCTCTACTGAAACTGCCTCCCCCTCCTCTTCATCGATAGAAAGACGAGGGAAAGAAGCGGACTCGTCGGTAGATCAAACGCAGGCGTCGGCGCTGAGAAACAAACAGGCGCTCTAAAGGGAGGGAAAGTATTTATTAAAGATTACATATATTAGATTTAGTAGCGACATTCAATGAAGACACTTTGCAGGCGTATCTAAAAGATTATTTTATAAACTTGAGTTGAGACGGATAGATGGATCCAAGGAGTTTTAGTTTCCTTTTAAAAATAATTGTTCTCCATGTGTTTTGGGAAAGAGCACAGGTAACACTTCCACAAACAGATCAGTGTTCTACGGTGGCCGACAGGTGCGAACAAACAAAACTCTTCCATCAGGAGAAATACGCTGCAGCTTCAGAAAGGACGCAGATATAAAAACACAAATGTTCCGAAACGTCTTGAGCAACTTGACAACACATGCAGCATCTAGAGAACTGTCTCTGTTGTTGGAAACTTACCTGAAATATTTCATGGTCTTATTTTAATGTTCTGATGTTACTGCAGATCTGCTGTGAGCTAGCTAGCTAATGTAGCTAGCTAGCTATTGTAGCTAACCTAGTCATTTCAGATATACTGAAGGTGGGAAGTAGTGGAGTACAAATACTTTGTTACTGTACTTAAGTACATTTTTCTGGTATCATTACTTTACTCCAACACTTGTTTTTCTGACGAGTTTTTACTTTGACTTCTTACATGTTGAACACAAATACCTGTACTTTCTACTTCTTACATGTTGAACTCAAATACCTGTACTTTCTACTTCTCACATTTTCCAAACAGCTGGTTACTTTAGTTTTAATCTGTGTTTGGTGGCGTGATCATTATTATTTAGAGTCGTTGCGTGCCTATTGATTTGAACCAAGCCTCCAGGAAGTGCGCCGGACTCTGAGGAAAATATTCGTTGTGGCCAAACGGCGGTACTACACTTCCGTATCGGTCGCTGGGCCCGGAAACACTTTTTCCCATTGACTAACATTGGGAAAGAGACGTCTGTAAATCGTTGGATAATTTTTTTGAAACTAAATAAACTACCCAGTATGAACATTTGTATAGCCCTTATTGAAAACATTCGGTCCTCAAGTTGTAAAAGGTGCTAATAACGTTATTCTGAGAGTTATTTTCCTCGGCATTACGAACGCGCATCTGAGAGTGGGAGCTCGGGGGCGGGGCTTAAGGGGCGCATGCTCTATGAGCGCACATACGGGTACTTCTGCTCTGACAGCCAGGCATGCTGGGTAATCTGTGACGTTTCGCTCTCTCAAAAGTTGGGCAGTTTTGTCCTCATGCGCCAATGAGCAGCTCTCATAGGAAAGAACGAGACCCCGCCTCCCACGCTGTATCCAGTTCTTATTATACATCCATGATTTGAACACGATCCGTGTATCAGGTACTCTTTAAAACAGCTGGTAGTTATGGGCACTTTTTACTTAAGTACATTTCAAAGCCCATACTTCTTTACTTTTACTTGAGTAAAGAAGTTTAGTCAGTACTTCTACTTTTACCAGAGTATTTTTAAACACAAGTGTCTTTACTTCTACTTGAGTACAGGATGTGTGAACTTCTCTGGTGACAAACACTCCCAGTTATGAGACGACTAACTCAGCCTGAACGTCCCCAAGCGGTGAAGATGTTTCTTTGTGTATTTTGGAACATGTGTGTTTTTATATCTGCATCGTTACTCCTAATGGAAGAGATGTTGACGGTTGTAACGTCTGATTCGGTCGAAAGATAAATGATGTATGTGTTAAAAGGTGAAAAAAGAACAAGGGAAGTTAATTATATCCGAACAATTATTGAAGATTAATCATTTTATACTTGAAGCAGATATTTAATGAGGACTTAAAGTCGTATTTATATAAAAATGTCCACAAAACTTTGAAGGAATCCCCAAAGATGCCGAATGCATTTTTGTTCAGTGTTTAGATCATAACTTACAACACTTTGTTCCCGTGTTGTAATATGTGCATCCTTCAGTGAAGTGAAGGGTTAACGATACTCTGTGTTCGCTACCACTTGTGTTCACTTGAAACTAGGATAAACCAAAAAAAAGGGAATTACAGAACAGCAAGTCTTACTCCGTCAACACAACGACCTGCCGATACTCCCACAATTCTAGTTCTTGCTCTGATACAGCGGTGCAGGGATGTCCTATTTCTGTGTTGGACCCTGAAGGCAGCATCTCCCTGGTCCCTGGATTTCTCCATGTGATTTTGGATTATCTCTGAAATTAATCTCTGTGTCAAACGTTTATGATACTTACACGTTTAGTTCAGCAGGATAATCTCCACATATTAACGCCACTTTATGATTTCTGAAGTAAAAAGCTGATGTTGGGCTTTAAAGGAACTTCAGCACGGTCACATGACTTCACGTCACCACCGCTAAGCTAAAGGTGGCTAATGTTGGGCTATAAAGGAACTACAGCACGGTCACATGACTTCACGTCACCACCGCTAAGCTAAAGGCGGCTAATGTTGGGCTATAAAGGAACTACAGCACGGTCACATGACTTCACGTCACCACCGCTAAGCTAAAGGCGGCTAATGTTGGGCTATAAAGGAACTACAGCACGGTCACATGACTTCACGTCTCCACCGCTAAGCTAAAGGAGGCTAATGTTGGGCTATAAAGGAACTACAGCACGGTCACATGACTTCACGTCACCACTGCTAAGCTAAAGGTGGCTAATGTTGGGCTATAAAGGAACTACAGCACGGTCACATGACTTCACATCACCGCCGCTAAAGCTAAAGGAGGCTAATGTTGGGCTATAAAGGAACTACATCACGGTCACATGACTTCACGTCATCACCGCTAAGCTAAAGGCGGCTAATGTTGGGCTATAAAGGAACTACAGCACGGTCACATGACTTCACGTCACCACCGCTAAGCTAAAGTTGGCTAATGTTGGGCATGATGAAGTTTAGTCGTCTCATTTAGACATTTGTTAGCAACCGGCGTTTTTAAATTCACCAGTGGGGGATTTACGGACGTAATTTGTCGTAAAACAAATCGTTAAAGCCTCTTCAGCTTGTGTTAACCACAGACCTGATTTCAGACCAAAAACACATTCAGAAACCCATTGACCTCCAGACCAGGGGACAGGAAGTGCTAAAATGCTGACTCATTCCTGCACCAGTCTTCTTCAGAAATCAGAGGAACCGCTCGCCATAACACAAACTGATAATCACTATATCTTGACAAATATCAGTTTTTTTAACATTTTAATTTGTGTTTTACTGTCAAATACTTAAAAACGTGGTGTTATGTTGAGGCTTTCTAAAGCTGCATCAGTTTCTCCATCTACTGCTGATTATACAGAATGTTTTCAAACGAGGGGAAACGCGACGGAGTCCTTCCCCCCCGCAGGGATGACGCTATAAAAGGTACTGTAATCATCTCAAACATGGCTGACTCGTGCATTCAGTATATCATTTGTATTATTTTTACATACAAAGAGCTTGCAGGCGTGTAAATGCTTTCACCTCCGCTCCCGACCCTTTAAGACGTGCTTTTTAAAAACTTTTTGAAACAAATACACAACAACTCCACCGGTGCTTCGACACACCTGACTGTAACTCTGCAGAAGATGCTGGGAAACCTTTAAGATTTGCTATTCTCTTGTGAATTTCCCCTTTTTGTACGTCACGAAACGAGACGTTTGAGCTCATGTGCCATTGCCACCTTGGCCACACGTCAACATCTCTGTGTGTGTGTGTGTGTGTGTGAGAGAGACTGTCAATCACACACCATTTAAGATCCAATGTCATGTAATCTTATCTTTAAAGTTTCCAAAAATGTTGTCGTTCTGTTCAGTAGACTTCTGGGAACGCTCCCTGAAGATGAAGTATAGTGCTGGAGACATTTGTACACTTTCAAAAGTGAAAACAAGGACAAGAATGTGCAAACTTTGAGGTAGAAAGAGTCCGTCAGCCACTCAGAAACCCAAGATGGCCACCAATGATGAGTCGGTAATGTGATATCAATTATCTTGGTGTCAAATCATACAATTAAATATTTTAAACCAAATTCAGACGTCAGGAATTACAAATGCTAGAAGACTATAATGGATATTTAGGGTTTTTCTAGAAAGATATAGTATGAGTACTGTGTCTCTGATCCTGTTTATAAGATATATAAATTATCTGGAGAACATGACGCTCGTAAACAAGATGTCTCTGCCGTCTGACGCTCTGTTTGATACTCAGATTTCTGGAGGAATTATACCGTCTTTGAGGAACAGAAATAATGTTTTCTGGCATCACTTTAACATTTTACGGGGGAAATCAGCATTTTGGTTTGAGGGCGCAGCGCTCCTGTTACCCGGTGCAGACAAAACCCTAATATGAATGTGGTTTAGTGTCTCAAGTGCTTTCTAATAAGCCCCACATTATGACCTTTTGTCTGAAATGAAACACAAAGCTCTGGAGAAGTTTTTTAATGTGATTTCCCCACGGTCAAAAACATATGATCCAACGCCAATCATCAAAATGCATCCAGTGGTTAAAGTGATGTGGAAAAATACTGATTCCTCGACTGGAAAGGGCGGCTATCTTAGAAAATGGTCCCTCTATTTCTAAATGGCCCCAGAGGGATGACCACGGACCTTTCTATCACCTTTGAAAGATGACGGATATCTGCAGCACTACATTTTTGGTTTACATTCATAACTGTGATGTTGAGATTTGTTTTTAACGGCTTGATTGGGCGAGCCGCACCGTATACTGACCTCCTGTTAGGTCCTATACATATCTCGCAGAATGTAAAAACACTATTGTTCTTTAAATATCTTGTAATAGCTGTAAAAAAACTGTACCGTATTTGTCATGCGAGGCCATGAAATATTTTACGTAGATGTATCACTCGAAAGAAAATAATAAAATTCAAATACAGTGTTTTATTCGACTCGTCTCTGATGTTTTATTTTGTAGTTCAGTGCCTTCAAAGTAAAAGTCTCTCACTGCAAAAACTGCAGATCTAACCAAGTGTAATACTCTTATATTTAGATTCTAAATCTAGTGTGTCTTGATTTGAGTTTAAATAGCTTATCTAGTGCTTTCTATGGAAGATCTTTTGACTTAATTCACGTACATGTTACTTGCCTTGTCTTGATAAGCAACTTTGTCTTTATTTTGTTTAACTAGATACAAGGGACCTGTCTATAAAACATCCACTTCAAGGCGAGAAGCCTTATTTTAAGCATCAGCTCTGTGGTTAATGTGAGTTATTTTCCCAGCTGGTAAAGACACAATTCAAACAAGAATTGTGAGGCTTAACATCTCTTTGAATGATAATCACAAAATGAACTGATAATCATCATAACACACTCTCCTAAAGGATATGGACCAGAATAACTGATGATATGCATGACATTGACT